TGGTCAGATAACGCAGATGCTAAGCTACAGGACTGTTTTGCTAGCACAGACTGGAATATGTTCCGGGATTTATCCAATGGCTTTGAGGAGTATACCACCTCAGTCACCGGCTTCATCAATAAAGTATTGACGACAACGTCCCCTCAGTGACCGTACATACATATCCCAACCAGAAGCCATGGATTACAGGCAACATCTGCACTGAGCTAAAGGCTAGAGCTTCCGCTTTCAAGGAGCTGGACACTAATCCGGGCACGTATAAGAAATCTCAGACGAACCATCAAACAGGCAAATCGTCAATACAGGACTAAGATTGAATCCTACTACACCGGCTCTGATGCGGCAGGGCTTGCAAACTATTACGGACTACAAAGGGAAACCCTGCCACGAGCTGCCCAGTGACGTGAGCCTACCAGGCGGGCTAAATACCTTTTATGCTGTTCATTGACTACAGCTCAGCGTTCAACACCATAGTGCCAACAAAGCTCATCACTAAGCTAAGGACCCTGGGACTAAACACCTCCCTCTGCAACTGGACTTCCTGACAGGCTGCCCCTAGGTGGTAAGGGTAGGCAACAACACATCTGCCATGTTCCTTGGTGTCCACATCACCAACAAACTATCATGGTCCAAGCACACCAAGAAAGTCGTGAAGAGGGCACGACAACGCCTTTTCCCCCTCAGGAGACTGAAAAGATTTGGCATGGGTCCCCAGATCCTCAAAAAGTTCTACAGCTGCACCATCGAGAGCATCCTGACCGGTTGCATCACCGTCTGGTATAGCAACTGCTCGGCATCCGACCATAAGGCGCTACAGAGTGTAGTGCGTACGGCCCAGTACATCACTGGGGCCAAGCTTTCTGCCATTCAGGACCTATATACTAGGTGGTGTCAGAGGAAGGCCCCAAAAATTGTCAAAGACTCCAGTCACCCAAGTCATAGACTGTTCTCTCTGCTACCGCACGGCGCGCCAAGTCTAGGTCCAATAGGCTCCTTAACAGCTTCTACCCACAAGCCACAAGACGGCTGAACAATTAATCAAATGGCCACATGGACTATTTGCATTGACACCCACCCCCCCAACCCCCCCTTACCAACATGTTGTTTATTATCTATGCTGTTTATTATCTATAGGTAGTCACTTTACCCCTACCAACATGTACAACTTACCTCGACTAACCTGTACCCCCCGCACCTTGACTCGATACCGGTACCCCTTGTATATAGCCTCATTATTGTTATTTTATTGTTTTACTTTTTATTATTATTATTTTATTAATTTTTTACTTTAGTTTATTTAGTAAATATTTTCTTAACTCTATTTTCTTAAAACTGCATTGTTAGTTAAGGGCTTGTAAGCGTTTCACGGTAAGGTTGTATTCGGCGCGTGTGACAAATAAAATTCGATTTGATTTGCACTGTTTGGATTATTTTGGAGTGGACGAACATGCACAGGTAGCCTACGTTTTTAAGTGATTTGTTTGACAACCAGATGGAAGAATCATTACTTTTTGTGTTCATGCCCCATTAAATGGTAATTCATTTTTACCATTAAATTACGTCTTAATTATTAGGCCCATAAAAAAAAATCAGGCACACGCAAGCGTGTGCATCCAATAGAAAGCCACCAGAATGTCACAGTGTAATTCGCACTCTGTGCACAGGCTTCCTTCTTTTCACTCTGTCAATTAGGTTAGTATTGTGGAGTAATTACAATGTTATTGATCCATCCTCAGTTTTCTTCTATCACAGCCATTAAACTCTGTAACTGTTTTAAAGTCACCTTTGGCATGTTGAAATCCCTGAGTGCTTTCCTTCCTCTCTGGAAACTAAGTTAGGAAGGAAGGAAGCATCTGTGTGGGTAATGATGTTGACAGCCGCTCCAGACATTGACAGTTTTCTCTGTAAAGCTGAAGAGATACTGTATGTACCCTGTTGTTCGTTGTCATGTGATTGACATTCACTAGTCTCCAGTAGTTGAGTAATAGCTTATTCTACTAAAAACACTGTAACGTTTCTGACTGTCATTTTGATAACAACATAGAGAGTTGGAGACAGCTTCAGATAAATACTAAAGGTCGTCGGGCCTCCTGTGATTCCCCTCTCTGTCGGTTCATTTTATCCTATTTTTATTAACGTACTCAGCTAAAGGTGGCGGGTTGTAGCATTCTTCTAGATCTTAATTACTGAGTTCTCTAGTTTTGCTCATAGAAGATAATTTTATCACACACGAAGACAAATAACATTGAGCCATATGTCATATGGTTTTATCATTGACAACTGGGTGTTAAAGATAACTCCAGGATTTGAGCATGACAGGGCAAGTGCAAGTATCTTATAATTTCAAGTAAATTATAATAAAGTATAGTTGCTAGTAACCGAATGAAGAGATCCTATATTGAATGTAGCTTGCCAAAATGGAAAGTAGGCCTGTCTATCCATCACCATACAATAGTGGTGAACACATAATATTTGATCCCACTCAATATAAAGGTCTTAATCCATGTAAATGGTCATCAGTATGCAGTCCACTCACTGATAACCTCCAGTGGGCATGATCAGTCAGCAACATGTCACTACATTACGCTGACATAATATTATGTGATTTAGTCTCATAGGAACTCAATCCACTATTCATGAGGCTGATAGTGATATCAAAAAAATAGTGGTGACATATAAAGCATAGCTGTGCATTAATCAGGTCATTCATCAATCCAACGGTGAAAAGGAAAAGTTTGAGTCCCAAATGGCACCCTATTTCCTATATAGTATTAGTGCACTACTTTTGACCAGAGCCCTATGGGCCCTGGTCAAAAGTAGTGCACTGTATAAGGGATTGGCTACTCGCTACTGCCCTTTCCGCTGACCTTGGGGGTAAGGTGGATTATGGGTAAATCCACGGGAACAAAACCTTCCTTAACCATGTCTGCATTTCCTTTGTGAGGTTCTGATGCTGGAAACCGTTTTGCCGATGGGGGACTAACCCCCATTCTAACTTCAGCGAGATAAGTGAAACTATGCTGCATCAATGGTTTAACCAGCATTCTTCTATTTAAGACTATGAGGAAGCAAACTAAACTGGCTCTGAAAATTGTACCATGATAAATCACTTCACTCAGACTGTAGCTGTTTGACATCTTGTCTATCATTTATTACAGAAAAATTTTCAGTTAGTCCCTCAGGTATACTATGTTCACCGTGTGTGTGTGTGTGTGTGTGTGTGTGTGTGTGTGTGTGTGTGTGTGTGTGTGTGTGTGAGCGAGAAAGAGAGACGACCCTCAGAGGATGCAGGGTGCCGAGGTGTGAATGTAACTGTGAGTATGTGTGTGTGTGTGTGTGTGTGTGTGTGTGTGTGTGTGTCTATAAACCAGAGCTCAGTAATCTACAGTATGCAATGTATTTTATGTATATACCCCCATCAGCTTTCACCTGAACAGGTGGACCTTTCTTCTCTGTGCTCTGTGTACCCAGGGGAACGGGTTTAATGTGGACAAACAGCTTCCTCTCTGGATCTAACAGCCAGGGATCACTGGCTAAAGATTCATAAACACAACACGGTACAGTATACACAGAATGATAGTGCTCCTTTATTATCAGCGCGCTGGAGAGGTTCCAACCAACTCAATGCACCATAGTACACATGTCAGTCAGGAGCTCTGCTGGGGCAGTCCCAGCAGTTGTCTTATATACGGCTATACACAGACAAGTTATATTTGCATGATTTAGCATAATGAATTAATGTTTCTTTCAGGTGACCAACCAATACTGGTTCATAATATGTGACAGACCAATACCTCACGAGGCTTCTTCTCTCTAAGCTGTGACCTTGAAACTGATATATCTTTCGTTCTCAAAACAAAGGTCTGGGCATACTGCCAAATTGCAGCTACTGATAATGAGGATTCGTTCAGTCAGTCACTTGCATGAACACAGAAAACGGTTATTAGAAAAGCACACGAACAGAACACAGAAATGAGTTATTAGAAAAGCACAAACATAAAAAAATTCCAGCACATGCGCAATCTGTAACGCTTCAGCGCTACAGATTGAATAGAGCCCGAACTGGCACAAAGTATAATGTATCACCTCAAGGAAGAAGGAAAGTATTTTTGACCGATAATATTTTACAAAAAGCTTTCCTTAGAACAACAATTTCAAACTGAGCTCAAGAATCCATACCCAAAATGCAGTACAATCAACTTTCACTTCACAGTGAAATGATAAACAGGGGTGCTGGGTCAGCTTTACGGTAACTAGATAAGAAAAGACGAATGTGATTTAATCATTCATCTGATGTTTTAAGAAGACAATGCAATAGAAATAACTTAGAAATAAATATAATCTTATGTAGTAAACTATAATACCTTGAATCGACACATAACAACATTGTTATTTCAAGCCTAATGCTGTTTCGAGGCCATTATCTTCAGATCTGGAGCTACCAACTCTTTCAGGTCTGACAAACTGACAACAAACATTACAGAGGACATGTCAAACACAGCATTATCATGGCAAAACACAGACCTGTATAACACATAGCTCTAACAACAAGAGCTCAACAAGAGTCTAACAACTGAGTCTGACTTAATCTCAATATAGGGGTATACTCCAAAGGAGGATCAATGAGTTAGCAAGCTAAATATTCTGACATAACGTTTTATTTTTTTGAACGATAAGCTTGAAATTGACATTATTTAGTTGACTCAACAACGAAAAACACATATGTAAGTTTAGCTTTCTTAATGAACCATAAATGTGGTTATTTCTGCTGGCTAACTCATTGATCCTGCTTTGTAGTATACCCCTCTGGTGGGAGCTAAACAGTTATCATCTGTGGATTGAGAGTTCAAAAGCAAGAGTTTAAACTTTGAACCCCTCGATCCAATCCAACGTTTCCTGGTTCCCAGCCAACCCTGTGGCCTAACTCTCCCGTTAATCAACCGGTTGGAGATTCACATCCAATAAGATCACAGACCATTGGGGATATGCTCCCTGATTCGTCAGTCGTCAGGAACGGCCTCGTCCATCCACTTCATATATGGCAGGCTCCCGTCCTCAACTGGAAAACTCAGCACCTCTGGAGTCTCATAGGGATGGACAGACCTGGGGTGGAGGGAAGGAACAACACAGACATTTTATAGCAGGTGGCTAAACTAGCATCCCTACTGCCTTCCTGAGACCTGAAGTACTTACGCCCTGGACCCAGAAATGCTTTGGCTTTACCTGACATGTAACTGCTTGGGATGATTTCAAAAGGAACCAAATGTAACTTACTTGACAAAGTCTGTGACCCTCTGGATCTTCGAGGTCCTCGTCTTCACAAACTACAATGCAGAAAAGTCCCTGTTATCACTCTGGAAAGTTGGTTTCAACTCACAGCGTAAGTCTGAATGACTGGACAGACACTTAAAAGCTCTGCCAAATAACCTTACCATCAGAATTTCCGTTGCATCTTGAATCTCCCCTTTCCAGTAATACCTATGGGACAAAAATAAAAAAGCTTTGGGACATGCAGTAGGAAACTGTGCTGTACACACACTGTACACACACAGTAAACAGTATACTTCTATGTAGTGTGATACACACTAAAATATAATGGTTCTTAACAGCACCAGATAGGGGTTCAGATAGGGGCCTAAAATTAACACCCACCACCTGCTAAATGCAGGTAGATTTTGGCATTGGCAGGTAAGAGCCAATTCATAATTGATCCGAAAATGTGGTTGGAGGCACCATATGGATTGTGTGATGCAAATACAGAGCCTTCGGAGGCACCAAGAGGCCAAATTGAGCTCTGTACCGCATCGCTGTGCGCCTCTCAAATTTTCTAACAATGCGGAGTGCTCTGTATAGCTCCACATTGACATAATTGGTTGACGGTAGGTGAGGGCAGGAGTTCCTGTATAAATACAAACTCACTTCCTTGACAACTTCCTTCACAACAGCTCTGTGCTGCTTGGAGAAGCGGAAGAAGTATGCATTACCTGACTTCTGCAGAGGATATATCACCGTAAATGCTGCACGGCCAATCCAGACATCGGAATGACTATACAGCGCCTCTATGATGTTAATTTCCCCAGCCACGTTGGCGGGTGGTCAGGGCTCACCATTGTGAGCATTTCACTCGCATTTGTGAATAAAAATTGTGAAGTATTATCACAAATAGTAAAATAAATGCTGCAGTAGCTGTTTTCAAAGTATTTCCACTGTTTTGTATCATAGCTGGTAAATTAATCGCACAATGCCAAAGAACTACAAATCATAGATAGCCTATTCCATCTCGCGCTGCAACACTGCCTGGCTGGGGGCTGTGTGCACGTGAAGAGCTGAGTGAAAGATTCATTCAAGTTGGTCTAATTTACTTCAAGAGAAACTCTACCGAAGTGAGACTTTGTCCTTGTGTTTCTTGGCTATTTAAATTTTTTTGTTCACATACTAGTTTTTTTTCCTTCTATGTTTGAGTTTCAACTGCTAGGGAAGAGAAGACAACGTTTCTACAAGTCAGACTCAATCTCACAGGCACAAACATGGCTCAATATTTTGGCTGGTAAAAATTCTGAGAGGCTGGTAGATTTTTTTATCTTTCTGCCAGAGTGGCTGGTGGACTAAAAAGTAAATTTTATGCCCTGCCTGTAACCATAGGGTAACCCTTTTTGGTGCTATTAAGAACCCTTTCCTAAGGTTCTATAAAGAACCATGCAAAAAGGTTCTATATAGCACCAAAAATGGGTTCCACTATGGTTACCTTTTGTGGGGCTATATAGAACCCTTTTTTATGGTTCTTTATAGAACCTTTATGGATAATGGTTCTATAAAGAACCTTTCTCAATCTGAAAGGTTATTTTTAGATCCTTTTGAAGAAACATACATGCTTTCTTATTCTGTCAGCTATATTATATTGTTAAAATTCCATACTTGATATTATTGTGTTCATTGACAAGTTGAATGAAGTGAGCTACTTCTGGAACAGCTGGGAGTCCCTGAGGAGAGAATTGAGAACCACTGACTGATTTAGTCAACTGTTCTCAATTGACACAAGTCCATACGTGTGTCTTTCACAAGACACCGTCTTTGCCCATAGTCATAGATAATATGTAATTTCATAACACAACACATTAGATAAACTGGAATGACACTCTCACTCATGGTTGCACAAAAAGTTAGTCTCAAGTCATGCAGGCCTTTCAGTAACAGACACAGCCACTTTGATTGACAGCTGCCCAATATCCACAGTTTCTCTACAGTGACACAAGTCACACAAAGGCCTGCTAACGTGAGGGTTTGGCACCTGTTTCTGGCCTGGTGGCTGTTGCTGTATCTTACTCCATCTATCTTACTCTTATCTTAGGCCATGCATAAGAATGAATGTTCTGTTCTCATAGAGGCTTGTCAATGTTTAACCAGCTACTCAACGAGGTACTGCTGAATTTACACTTTCAGGAAATAGAACAGCAACGACCTGCTACTTAAATAGTTACCTATCAATCAGTTGAATGATGAGTTAACTTAAGGATCGGACCCTTTTTTTCAATTTCCGCCTAAAATGACATACCCAAATCTAACTGCCTGTAGCTCAGGACCTGAAGCAAGGATATGCATATTCTTATCATTTGAAAGGAAACACTTTGAAGTTTGTGGAAATGTGAAATTAATGTAGGAGAATATAACACATTAGATCTGGTAAAAGATAATACAAACAAAAAAACATGTTATTTTTATTATAAATTTTTTTGCATTATGTTTGAAATGCAAGAGAAAGGCCAGACAGTGATGTAGGATTTATAGATGTAATGTAGATGTTGTCCACCAGATGGCAGTAGTGTGTGCGCAAAGTTTCAGACTGATCCAGGGAAGAATGACATTTTTAATTTTTTTTACATTTTTAGTCATTTAGCAGACGCTCTTATCCAGAGCGACTTACATGAGCAATTAGGGTTAAGTGCCTTGCTTAAGGGCACATCGACAGATTTTTCACCTAGTCGACTCGGGGATTAGAACCAGCAACCTTTCGGTTACTGGCACAACGCTCTTACCCACTAAGCTACCTGCCGACATCACTACACAATATTTTATATAAAGTCTGCCAGGAGTTTTCCCAAATGTGCCGAATTGGTTTTTAAGTACATAACTATAGAGAACATACAAAAATGCTATGGTAATACAACATTTAAGTTAGCACACTCCCAGGAATGTCATAAATGATGGATCATTAGCTTCCCTACAGAAAATACACTAACCTTCACACATCCAGATGGCCGGGCGGGGTGGGTGTAGAGTCAGAGGTCAAACTGTAGAACCCAGTTCCTACATTTGAATATAAAAATAGATTTTTCAAACAAAACTACACTACATTCTATCTCTGGGACCCTCAGGATGACCAATCAGAGCAAGATTACTGAATGTAAGTACATTATTTACCTTCAGAGGTGAATGTACCAAACTAGTTGCTGTGAGAATAGTGTTTTGTTGTTGTGCACTATCCTCAAACAATAGCATGGTATTTTTAGCTGTAATAGCTACTGTAAATTGGACACTGCAGTTAGCTTAACAAGAATTTAAGCTTTCTGCCCATATAAGACATGTCTGTGTCCCGGAAAGTTGGCTGTTGTTTACAACACCATTCTAGTCACATATCGCATATTGAGCAACAACCATCCTGTACAAGGGACACCGATCCCGTAGAGGTTAAAGGAGATACCCAAAGACTTCCAGTCATTGTGCTAATGTGTTTTCGCACCAACTGTCCTTATCTGACTCTGACCTGCTTTTGATGACTCAATGACATTGTACATTCAACTTATTGATAAGTAACTATATTAGTAGCAGTTTCCTGAAGGTGTAAATTCAGTAGCACCTCACTGAGTAGCTGGTGAAACACTGACAAGCCTATATGAGAACGGAACACACTTTCTTATTCATGGCCAATGCATTTACAGGCTTACAAACTTTAGATTGAAACTTTCTCACTCTCCTCCTCACATCACGTGAGTCATTTACAGTCAGGCAAGTAACCACAATAGTGATTTCCTTAGCAACGGGTCTCCACACACAGGAAGTGCGTGCATGCGTGCCAGCTAGCCAGACAGACAGGACTTACATGGTGTAGGTCCTGGGCAGAATATTGATGCATGCTGCCATCCTCCTCTCCATAAGGGCTCTGTGGGAGAGAGGGGGAAGGAAGAGCGACACAGCAATTAAACACTTATGGATTTATGGTTATTTTGCGGATGTGTGTGTTTTTTTTTTAAGCTAACTTGACCTACATACTTAGCCTAGTTAGGATATGGGAAGCAAACTCACAACCCTGGTGTTACCAGACCCAGCACCATGCTCTAACTAATCCACTAAGTAATTGGAAAAACTTATGTCACCAGCTATACACCAATTCAGAGAATAACTGGGTTATTATGTTGCTATCCAATACATGAACATGTAAGCATATAATTGAGAATGTGCATTGATAAAGACACACGTTTTTTGGCCTGAGGGAACTGAGAACATTTCCTCAATATCCTCATTTTGAAAATAATTGAGAACATTTCCTCAATACTACTGGGAAACTGAAATCTGTCTTGCCTAATTTTGTTTACCAGCATGTCACCTGTGCAACTAGAGGCGATAAAACTCTAGATCATCTTTACTCCACACACAGAAACGTATACAAAGTTCTCCCTCGTGCTCTAACAGGAAGTACTGTTTCTCTAGCACAGACTGGAATATGTTATGGGATTCATCCGATAACATTGAGGAGTTTACCACATCAGTCATCGAACACATTAATAAGTGCATCGATGATGTCGTCCCCACAGTGACCGTACATACATATCTCAACCAGAAGCCATGGACATCCGCACAGCAACATCCCAAGAATGCCAAGGTAACCTCACTAAATGACTATCACCTCATAGCACTCACATCTGCATCCATGAAATGCTTTGAAAGGCTGGTCATGGCTCACATCAACACCATCATCCCAGACACCCTGGACCCACTCCAATTCGCATACCTCACCAACAGATCCACAGATGATGCAATCTCTATTGCACTCCACACCAGAACTGGGCAAAATAGTTGTATTTTGTTTTTTTTAAATGTATATCAACTTTTCAAATACTCGAGGTATTCGAATATGGAAAGATCAACTAAAGGCAACTATTGCCTACTATTTCCTATGATATTCAAATACAGGTCTCAGAAAAACAAATAATATTTGAAAGTATTTTGAATACCTCTCAGAAAAAAATATAACATTTGAAGGTATTTGAATATATGTAAGTCATTTGAAAACAAAACAAATATGTATTTGATGGCTGCCAAATATCTGATTAAGAACCAAAAACTAGAACAGTTAAATTAGTCTAAATATATTATAATTAGCACATGGTTTGGAGGGCTTTCAGATATAAATCTTAACGCTGGCAGTGCAAGCCTACAGGTGTTTTTATCCACGACTGGGCTAAAATGCATCAGGATTGAGATGTTTTCCACACAATCACAAGATGAAGATAAGGTGGAACTGGATAATGGACAGGGATTTGTCTGCCCTAAATGCACCACCATCAAGCAGCTTAGGGAAGAAATCCTCCGGCTGTTAGCTCGGCTGCGAGAAAAGGATAATCTGCTTTCTAAGTACACCGACCTTGCTGTAACCCACGCAAACCGAATCTCAGTTTTAAATGCCTCCTATAGCAAAGCTGTCGATGAGTTGGTTGGCATTGATCTGTCCCAATCCAACGAACAGATGTTGAGCTCAACTCCGTGGCCATGGGAGACTGGACACTCACAAGGCGTAAGAGATCGGGGAGGCAGTCTGGCCACCCTTCATCTGTCCAAGAAGATCCGATCCAGTTATCAAACAGCTTTGCCCTGCTTGAGACGGACCTACCAGCCCCGGGAGTCAGCACGGATCCTGGGTGCATACCAATAGCCGGCGGTCGCCCAGTGGCACCCTCCCCCACGGCCACGGCCATGGCCACGGCCACTGCAGTTCAGCAAGTTGCTTCCCCATCAGATTCCATCACGACCACCATCATGTTGGGCAGCTTGATGGTGAGAGATTTTGGCCTGCCTACGATCTGTGGACCGACCAAGGTCCACTGTCACCCAGGAGTCCGTGTCCATGACATCATCTCCCTCCTGCCCACGGTTCTGGCCAACTACTCCAACATTGACACCATCGTCACTCACGTAGGTTTTAACAACCTTCGTTTTAGGCAATCTGAGGAACTGAGGGAGGACTACAAAAATGTTTTAAACATGCTCGCTAGCACAGGGAAGATAATAATCATCTCTGGCCCCCTCCTGTGCTACCGAAGGGGTTTGGAACATTTCAGCCGACTCTTTGCCCTGAACGAGTACCTGAAGAAACTTTGCAATGACAGGAATATCTCTTTTTGTGACAACTTTGATTTGCTGTGGGAGCAACCAGCACTTTTTTAAAAGAGACATGATTCACCCTACACGCAGGGGTTCCAGGATTATTTCCAGCTGTTGTATTCTAGCTTGAAATATACTTATTCATGTTACCATAATATAACTTATTGATTACTTTACATGTCTAAGGAATGTACACTACCAGTCAAAAGTTTGGACACAACTACTCATTCAAGGGTTTTTCTTTATTTGTACTATGTTCTACATTGTAGAATAATAGTGAAGACATCAAAACTATGAAATAACACATATGGAATCATGTAGTAACCAAAACAGTGTCAAACAAATCAAACTATATTTTAGATTTTAGATTCTTCAAAGTAGCCACACCTTGCCTTAATGACAGCTTTGCACACTCTTGGCATTCTCTCAACCAGCTTCATGAGGTAGTCACCTGGAATGCATTTCATTAACAGGTGTGCCTTTTTAAAAGGTAATTTATGGAATTTCTTTCCTTCTTAATGCGTTTGAGCCAATCAGTTGTGTTGTGACAAGGAAGGGGGGTATACAGAAGATAGCCCTATTTGGTAAAAGACCAAGTCCATATTATGGCAAGAACAGCTCAAATAAGCAAAGAGAAATGACAGTCCATCAATACTTTAAGACATGAAGGTCAGTCAATACGGAACATTTCAAGAACTTTGAAAGTTTCTTCAAGTGCAGTCGCAAAAACCATCAAGCGCTATGATGAAACTGTCTCTCATGTGGACCACCACAGGAATGGAAGACCCAGAGTTACCTCTGCTGCAGAGGATAAGTTCATTAGAGTTACCAGCTTTGGAAATTGCAACCCAAATAAATGCTTCAGAGAGTTCAAGTCACAGACACATCTCAACATCAACTGTTCAGAGGGGACTGTGTGAATCAGGCCTTGGATGGTCGAATTGCTGCAAATAAACCACTACTAATGGACACCAATAATAAGAAGAGACCTGCTTGGGCCAAGAAACACGAGCAATGGACATTAGACCGGTGGAAATTTGTCCTTTGGTCTGGAGTCAAAATTTGAGGTTTTTGGTTCCAACCGCCATGTCTTTGTGAGACTTTGTGTGGATGAGCGGATGATCTCCGCATGTGTAGTTCCCACCGTAAAGCATGGAGGAGGAGGTGTTATGGTGTGGGGGTGCTTTGCTGGTGACACTGTCTGTGATTTATTTAGAATTCAAGGCACACTTAACCAGCATGGCTACCACAGCATTCTGCAGCGATACGCCATCCCATTTGGTTTGGGCTTAGCGGGACTATCATTTGTTTTTCAACAGGACAATGACCCAACACACCTCCAGGCTGTGTAAGGGCTATTTTACCAAGAAGGAGAGTGATGGAGTGCTACATCAGAAGACCTGGCCTCCACAATTCTCCAACCTCAACCAAATTGAGATGGTTTGGGATGAGTCGGACGGCATAATTAAGGAAAAGCAGCCAACAAGTTCTCAGCATATGTTGGAACTCCTTCAATACTGTTGGAAAAAGCATTCCAGGTGAAGCTGGTTGAGAGAATGCCAATAGTGTGCAAAGCTGTCATTAAGGGAAAGGGTGGCTTTTTGAAGAATCTCAAATATAAAACATATTTTGATATGTTTAACACTTTTTTGGTTACTACATGATTCCATATGTGTTATTTCATAGTTTTGATGTATTCACTATTATTCTACAATGTAGAAAATAGTAAAAATTAAGAAAAACCCTTGAATGAGTAGGTGTGTCCAAACTCTTGACTTGTACTGTATATGATGGGGTGTGACGAGGTGTGAATGAAGGAGTCAGGCGCAGGAGGTAAAACACCGAAGTCCAGAGTTTATTCCGTTTACATAAATGAAATGCACCCAGCGTCAAAACAAAACTATCACAAGGGAAATATTCCACCTTGGCAATAACAACAAGAAGAGTAGCTCAACCGAGCTACTCGCTCTCACAATGAACCAATCACTCACAAAGACAAGGGGAACAGAGGGAACACTTATACACATACTAATTAGGGGAATGAGCACCAGGTGTGTGTGATTGACAAGACAAGACATGACAAGTGGAGTGATGAGAATGGGATCGGCAGTAGCTAGTAAGCTGGTGACAACGAACGCCAAAACCTGCCCGAACAAGGAGGGGAGGCTGCCTTGGCGGAAGTCGTGACATGGGATCAATAAAGGGTGGATAGGAACTTGGTGTATGGAAAGTTACTGAGTGAAACAAGGGGGAAGTGCAGAAAGTTCATATTCTGTTCAAATATGTTATTGTTGAATATCAATGTTTCTAAGGAGGTCTAGTTTCAGTTCCTGATAAGGCAGGCCAGCTGCGGAACTAGGGAGGAGCGAGGAATTCGGCTCAAGGTCAAGTCAACAGATGAAGTTAGAAGAATCCTTTGGGAGTGGGGCCACCCCAATGACCTTCCTACTACAGTCCTATCTCACCCGCATACAGTTCCATGGCCACAAAGGTTCTAGCATCAGGCAGGGCCATGACTACACCGGTGAGAGGAAACAATTAAGTTCCTGACTAGCAACAGAGATGTATTGGCTGTCTAGATATGTATGGAGTTGACCCCGCCTAGTAGGAGGTTTGAAATATATGTGCTTGTGTAATCATACCTTGTGTTTGCAGCTGAAGCACCCAGTGGGTTGAATAAACTTGGTTTGAGCTTTTCCTAGTCGTCCGTTTGAGTTTTTACTCTGTTTGTTCAGAACCTAACACAGCAACATCACAAACTGTTTTAGAGACTGACAGAC